GAAGAAAGAAACTTTTCTGTTTGGATTTCAGGACATAGGTTTCAATCCCCAGCATCTTAAAAAGGAGGGGGATAAAATGGGGGGGGGGGGGAAACTAGAATAAGATGGCTCAGTAGTAGGAGCCTAACCTAACCTACCAAACCTAACGACCTGAGTTCAATCCCTGATACCCACACAGTGGAAAGAGGAAACCAACCCTGTGAACTTCACTCTTGCACTGTGGTGTGTGTATACATGTGTACAAATGAGTGCACACCCCCCAACACACACACACACATCAATTAATCAATATACCAACACTTAAAAAAACAGTCAAAATTCCAGGATGCATGTAGAAGGGAGTGAAGAACCACACTTCCAAGTAACGATTGGCAGTTGATGGTTGTTGAAAGGAGTCTCCTCTTGCTCATGGTCCACTGGATGCCCCCACACCCATGCACACATGGGCAGTACTAATAGAACTCAGTGGGTGTTTTAAAGAAATGAAATTGGGAGGGAGATGTGTTGAGAGGGGGTCCAGACAAAGTAAGGGGATTAAAGGGTGGCTAAATACATGGTACAACTGTATGAAATGTTAAAAGAATAAATTTTTAAATTATATTTTTAAAAAGTTCAACAATATTAATATATAATAGTAATATCATGGACTAACTCCAATTCATTTTGTGTTCTTGGATTCATCCATCCATGTCCAAAAAACATTCATACAGATGATCACTTGAACAGCCAGGTGTGTTTTAATGCTAAGATTAGTGATGTCTTCAGCTGAGAGCACAGTAAAGGGCCCTTACCTGCTTGTAACTAGGAAAAGAACTTGTCAAGGGAGAGCAAATCCACTCTACATTTGGACATGTTGGATAAGAACAATACAAAAAGCCTCTTATCCCAGGTTGTTCAGCTTTCAAATGATTATAATCACTATGGTTTCCTTAAATTTTGTGTCTCTAATTAAATGTTCAAACACCACTCAGAGAAGAACAAATAAATTACTGCTTTCCAGTTACCTTATTTAGCTCTGGAAACAGTTCTTGTATCACAATGTCCAACAAAACATAGGTCAGCTGTAGCACAAAAACATGTAATAAAATGTAAGGTACTAGACAGTAAAAATGACAGGCACAGAATCCAGGACTGTGGTAATCACTAAGTGAGAAGGCAGGGAATGCAGCGGCAATGTAAAACAAGCATAAAATATATCTAATACCTACCAACAATATTCTACCCTTAAATGAATAGTAGAGACCTTTGTGAGTAAGAAAACTAACATCATTGTATTTTACCCATTTTTATGTAAACTGTTTTGCACAAATTTTAAACAATCAAGTGTAACATTGAAATTATATTAAAAATTTTAAAAAATAGAGACTATATACATAAAAATGCTAATTGGTTATTCTATGACTTGAATTACCAAAATTTAAATGTTTACATCATATCATAAATTTTCTATACATCCAAAATTTTCTACTAGGAAGATATATTACCTTTAAATAACACTGCATATTGCAAAGAAAGATAATGAGCAAAAACAATATATGTAGATTTTCCTATCTGAATGTTTAGATTATGTGGCTTGATTTTGATTGTGACTCATACAGTTAATAAACCAGACACCTTGTTGCTCAGCAAACCATACCAACACTAGCCTACTTACCTGCTTGTTAAGCACTGGCTGCTGCAAGCCATCAAACAGAAGTCTGATGCTCTCATACTTGGTTTCTTCACCAATACACTTGACTATCAGATCTGAACAAGAAAGCCACGTGTGAAACAATTCATAATGACTCATCACTAGCTGCCTCTTAAAGTAAAAGCCCCTTCCATTCACAGACACTACATAAGCTGCAAATCAGTATTTCTCAAACCAGTGTTTGCAAGAAGCTCCTAGAAACAAGTTTTATGGTCAAGTCAAACAAATATAGTTATCATTAATCCTTTTGGAAGTTCACAATACACAGAACATACTGCAGCATATAAATCAACTACCACTAAGTGATAAAAAGAGACTTTAAAATTATTCATATTTTATTATACATTAGGGTTAACCAAAACAAAATTTTTAAATATTTATTTTTAATTATGTCTAAGGTTTGTGTTTTTGAGGAGAGATGTGCACAAGAGTGCAAGTGTTCACAGAAGCCAGAGAGGGAACTAGAGTTAAAGGCAGTTAGTTATAAGCCACTTAAGGTGACATTCTCTTTAGGATAGTATGTATTCCTTCTCTCCCCCACCATCACCCTGAGTCAGGTTTCTCTGTGTAACAGCCCTGGCTGTCCCACAACCTACTCTGTGGATGAAGCTGGCCTCAAACTTAGAGATCTACCTGCTTCTGCCTCACAAGTGCTGGGATTAAAGATGTGGGCCACCACTGCCCAGTTGTACACTAACTAAACTGTACTCTTAACTACTGAGCCATCTCTCCAGTTTCCAAGCAAAAGAATTTAAACTCCAATGATGTTTGTGCAATTGTGTACACACATACAGAAATACGTCTATAACCAGATGTGATGGACATCTGTAACCTCATCATTTGAGAAGCAAATGTAGGAGGATCAATGCAAATTTGAGGCCAATCTGGTCTACATAATGAGTTCCAAACCAACTAGGAAGCCAGTAACATAACAGACCCTGCTTCAAAAAAGGAGAGAAAAGCCAATCAACCAAACAAATAAACCTATGTGAGTAGAAATAACCTTGTCTTAAATTTTAGGAGCTGAATATAATGGCTTATATATGTAAATTCTAGCACTCAAAAGACTGAAGCAAGATAACTGTTTTATGTTCAAAGTCAGCCGGGGCTAAAACTTGAGGGTCTATCTCAAACAAACAAAATATTAGTGTTATCAACAAAAGAACAAACTGCATTTACAAATGCGTTAATTTAATTAGTCCTTACTAGTATTTCTAAAATAAAAACTCATAATAACTACTAGTTTCAATAATTACATTGCAGCCTCAAAGGGGTGCTGCTCTATACAAAATTGAGTTATTTAAAAATTATACCTGGAATGTAATTCATCATTTCTTCAAACGTCTGTTTTGCTCCTTTTTGCTTATCTTGGAGGGAGCGAGGTTCAGTATTTTCACAAAATATAGCATCTAAAAGTGAATACAAGAAATTTATACAATTATTCTCCAATTTATACACAAATATTTCCTAATAGTAGAAATGCTAATTTAAAAAAAAAAGCCTACTTTTTAAAACCTAACTAAAATCACAAGCACAAAACAGGAAACAAAGACGCATCAGACACAAACCTCTGAGAAGCGTTATGAGAGAAACCAGCCGGTGCTCCTGGAAGAGCTGCTCTAGCTTGCACTGAAGATAGTAGTCAGTGTACATTTCCAATGTGTTCTTAAAGAGGATTCGAGTTCCCATTAAAAGATGATGAAGCCAATCTGGAACTTGGAAAACTACTCGTCCTGAGGAAAACCAATTGAGAATCAACTGAGATCTGCTGTTGCTCAAGATAACAAATAACGGGTCAGTTTTACTTACAATCACTAGTATGTTTTGTATGTTCAAGGCCAATGTATTAAATCTGTGAAAGTAGTGCCTTTCACAAAGTTGAGGAAGGGCTGTATTTGCATCATGAGGCAGATGAATGACAAACAACACAGACCATTTAGACCTTACCTACATACATCAGGTAATCATAGACTCCATCCACAGTCATCACCTCCATGAAGTAGTTCTGATTTTGCTTCCGCTCTGTAGTCTCAGCACGGTTTGCATTATTCTTATATAGATCATTGAAAAGCTAAAGTAAAAATTGAGATAATAAAGAGATGTATACATTATTGTACCTACTGGTAATTATCACTAAGGTTAAAAGAATACACAGCAAAAATGACATTATGTGCCAGGCTTTGTTGACTCCCCATGGGAGGCCATACCTTTTCTGAGGAGTGGATAGGGTTAGGTTGTGGGGAGGAGGAGAAGGGGAGGGAGGGGGAACTGTGGTTGGTATGTAAAATGAATAAAAAATAAATAAAAATTACATTAAGAAAGTTTAAAATCTAGCTGGGCGGTGGTAGCACACACCTTTAATTCCAGCACTGAGGAGGCAGAGGCAGGCAGATCTCTGAGTTTGAGGCCAGCTCGGTCTACTGAGCAAGTTCCAAGATAACAAGTTGCTTGGTCATGAATGTAATTATTGGGTTCTTTGGACTAACTTGTTTTTCATATGTAATATGTAAAACATTTAATCATGTAAGGGATATGGAAACATTTTTAAATTTTTAATTGTATTCATTGTAATCATTCACTTAAAATGGAATATAACCACACTATAATTTTTATATTGCTTGAAAGATTCTGCTGGGGTATATAATCTGTAAGGGAAAAAACCAAAGATACAGATGGGATACATAGGGATAGAAGTAAGAAAAGAAGCGAAGAAGGTGAGAGAGATGATAGAAAGACTCTAAAGATGTGTGTGTGTGTGTGTGTGTGTGTGTGTGTGTGTGTGTGTGTGTTCCTCTTTTGGTTGTTTGCTTTGTGGTGCTTGGATGTTCTAAACCTAGAGCTTCAAGCAAGCTAGGCAAGTGCTCTATCACTAGGTAATATCCCTAACCCCTCATTTTTAATTCTAAATGTAAGAAACACAACTCTTAAAAGTCTAGACGGGGTTAAACAACAGTTTAGATAAAAATTAAATAGGCATGGCTGAAGACGGACCAGAATAAAGAGACAGAAATAGTGGGAACAACGGGGACAGAAGATGGGAGAGGGCTAGATGATGCTGGAAACAGAATGAGAACCGCATCAGTGCTGAAAGGAGACAAGCAAAGGAACGGGGAAAGGCATGGGCTGCAGAGAGAATAGCGAGATTTTTTTTTTTTTTCAAAAGGATAAGAAACCAAGACTAAAAAGTCACAGCCTGTGTCAGCCTCTCCTGCGCAGCCCCTCACCCACAGCTGTAGTCTGCTTTACTTACTGCCTCTTTACACAATATGCAGTACCTTCTTGTTGTTTTCAGAAGTGGGGCTGAGAATGGTCAGTTCTGGTCTACTTGGTTTAGGTTTGGGGGATTCACAAGAATTAATGAAACTCATGATGAAAGGTTCCAAGTGCTGACCTTTCTGTGGTGACAGAGGAGATAAGCACTTTTAGTATCACAGAAGACACTACAATTCATCAGTAATTAAGCACATCGCCATTACTTATAAATACACATAAATCAGAAATTCACCTCCTTCATTAGTTTTCCAGGAACAGACTTTATAATTTTCCCTGTAATAAGAACAAAGTATTAATTTTATGAAAGTATAGCATAACTGTTTAATTGTTTACATGAATATTTCAGTAGGTAGCTTTAAACAGTAAAGAGTTAAATAGAAAGCCAAAGCTGAATAATTTATAATTCATCATTTCATACTTCAACAGAAATTTATAATGAAGTTGATATCCCAAACTATTTCACAAATACAGTGGGATTCATTGTAAAAATAAGTCGTGAGGATGTAACAGAGATCTAAGAAGCTTATTGCTGGTAAATGTTAGTGTACCATAAGGAGAAGACAATATAATTCTCAACTTCAATGTTCTTTTAACCTAATGCTCATTTGTTTGTTCATTCATTCATTTACTCCTTCCTTGCTCTCTCTCTTCCTTTGTTGTCATTGGTGATGGAATCAAACCTGGGGCCTTCACATATTAGGCAAATGGTCTACCATTAGTGCCATGCTTTGCACAGAAAAATTTTATAAAAATGTTTCAACAGAGCCAGGTGGTGGTGGCGCACATCTTTAGGCAGGAGGACCCTGGGGGCTATTAAAAAAAAAAAAAAAAAAAAAAAAAAAAAAAAAAAAAAAAAAAAAACGCCCCCAAAAAAAAAAAAAAAAAAAAAAAAAAAAAAAAAAAAAAAAAAAAAAAAAAAAAAAAACCTATCTTATTAAAAAAAGAAAAAAAAGTTTCAACAGAATTGGAGAAATGAAATAACTTAGAGGTTAAGAGAACTTGTTGCTCTTCAGAGGACCTGAGTTTGGTCTCAATCCATGATGAGCAGTTCACAGCTGTCTTTAACTCCAGCTCTAGGGGATCTAATGGTCTCTTCTGGTCTCCATGGGCACCTACACACATGGCATGCATGCACACACATACACACAGACATATACACATACACACGAATTCAGAATGTTTTAAAAATGCTTTCAAAACATTTTAAGCAATAATGAACATATAGTTAAACATACACAAAAGTTAGTGAAATATAAAAGAACATTTAAAAAAAATATTTACACTATTGGAATAGTTAATATTCTAAATTTTAAAAATTTTTCATTCTAGACAGGCATGGTGCATACCCCAGTGACTGTAGCAGGAGAATAAGAATTCAGAGAGGGAGGAAAAAAAACCCTATGTTTGCCCAATTTATTCACTGTTTGTATCTCCTGGTTCCCTTATCAAAAATACTAAACATCTGAAGACTTTATCAAGCATTTAGAAAATAACATACAAATTAATCTAAATTTCCAAATGCAACTTACATTTCTTTTACCTCCATTTGGTAGGCATAACAATACTAAGAGACAACTGTAAAAATAAAGATACTTTTTTATGACATAGAAACTCCCAGTCCTGTCACAGCCTACTACCACCTTCAGAACATCCCATGTTCCTCAGGTTACAGGGTCACAGGACATGCTTCTCTCACCTATGTTATCACTGAGCCCAATCAGTGCTCCATGTGATAAAGCAAAACTCAAATTACTAGTCCCTGTCTGCCTCTTGGCACCTTCTTGCCCTGGAAAACTAGATTCTACAAACTCACTAAGTTCAAAACTGTCCTAGGGGCTGGAGAGATGGCTCAGAGGTTAAGAGCACTGACTGCTCTTCCAGAGGTCCTGAGTTCCATTTCCAGCAACCACATGGTGGCTCACAACCATCAGTTATGTGATCTGGTGCAATCTTCTGGTGTGCAGATATACAAGGAAGCAGAATGTTGTACACATAATTAATAAATAAAATCTTTAAAAAAAAACTGTCCTAAAATTATCAACAACCACAAAAAAACAACGCATGCATTCAGTTTACATAGAAACTTGGATGGTCTTTCATCCTTTTTCACCTTCTGTCAAACTTAATAGGAAACCAGGTTAAATTAACTCTATTTCCTAAACACCACATACAACCAAGTATAAAAAGGTCCTCACAATTTCTCTTGATAAGATGGTCACACATACCAAATGCTTTAAATCAAATAAATGTGTTCATATAGAGGTTTAAATGGAAGCTGGTTCAGTTCTACTTAAACCTGTATCTTAAAAAATATTCTGAGAAATACTGTATCATCTACTGGCTTCAACAATTTTATACAAATATTTGTAGCAAGTTGGTTTACTATTTTGAACTTTACATAAAAGAAATGTTGTACTTATTTTCATGTGTGCTTTATGTCTTTCATTTACCATGTGTTTCATTTTGAGATAAGGCTCAAACCTAACGCCTCATGCATGTGGGGTAGGCAAGTCCCAGTGTTACACTTTCTAATTCATCTGCACTGTTCCAAGTTGCTTCAAGCTATAGGCATTCATTTCTATAGGACTCAACATTAAGACTCAACAGTTTGGGGATGGAGAGATGGCACTGTGATTAAGAGCACTGGCTGCTCTTCCAGAGGACGCAGGTTCAATTCCCAGCACCCAGATGACACTACTATAGCTCCAGTTCCAGAGGATCCAATATCATCACACAGAGATACATGCAGGCCAAACACCAATGTGCATGAAATATAAATAAATACATTGAAGTATACATATATATATCTAGTTTGAACTATGATACACAATGTGGCTATAAATATTCTCAAACAGATATAAGATCCTTGACAGTAAATAGATGGAAAGAAATTATATAACTTGAAGTTAGAGAGGGAGGAAAAGGCCCAGATGAGCTTTATACCAAACATTAAAGCTGTGGTATTTTTAAAGAAATCTTATTGAAGTTATTCATATAATGATTGATGACTATGTACATTTACATCTACTTGAAGCACTATCAGTTATTTTTCTTATATGAACACCGAAGGATGGGGATACATCCTCAGAAATTGGTTGCTAGGCAATTTTGTTGCACAAACTTCAAAAGAGTGCACTTACACAAACTTATGACAGCTGTTAGGTCACTAGGTGACATAATGTAAAGGACCACTGTCAGTTATGCAATCTGTCATTGAGTGAAGCACTGCTGTGCAATACATGACTTTATTTAAATATACAAAGGAATGCAAGGATATTACTAACTAATAGTTTCTGTGATAGAACAAGTGGTTAGAAGTGACTGGTAATAGAATCAGGGTAATGTACCTCTAATTTCAAAAGAAGTCCTTTGGAGTTCATCACATGGGCATACTATCAAAACCATTTTTCTACACTAGTCTGAAATCATTGTTCTTATATATGTTTTTTCCACATGACTTACCAAGATTTACATCTGGAAGTATTTTATCAAGAAACTGTGTTTCCCCACCATTGGGGGAGAGAAAGTCAGCCAGAAGTTGACTGTTACTCAGTTCCGGATGCTGCAGAAGTTTCTTCAATAAACAGAACAGAGGAGGGAAACAGATTAGAAATGCAGAAGGGTAACTAAAACTGGTCTAAAATGATTGTAAACAAAAAGCAACAAACTTTAAGTCACCAAAATGTATTTCCTATTCTAACCAAATGACTAATTATATTATCCACCAAAATAATTTACATTGCATATATATATATATGTATATATATATATATATATGTATTTAGAAACATATGTTTGTATATATATATATATATATATATATATATATATATATATATATAGTAAATAATTACAGTGTTTATGTAGCACAATGCACATCGCTGGGGAAAATGGGAAGTCAATTCTGAGTACAGAGCTGATGCCAGGAAATCAAAAAACAAACATACAAATAGTATAATAAAAAGGACTAAGTAATAAAGTAAGAAAGACAATTCCCAAGCTGGGAAAAGTTAAGCATAAAATCAGAGTACAACATTCTTAGAATACATTTAATATTTTATAACAAAAGGTTTTCTTTTTTTAAGTCTTCCATGTCAAAATTTTAATTAGCCTAAAACTAATTAAAGCCCTCTCCTAGAAATAGTATTTTATTGGTCATTAATTTTTTAAAAATACTGAGGATTGGCCAGGCATTGGTGGCACACGCCTTTGGTCCTAGCACTCAGGATGCAGAGGCAGGTAGATCTCTGTGAGTTTGAGACCAGCTTGGTCTACAAGAGCTAGTTTCCCACAGAGAAACCCTGTCTCAGAAAAAAAAAAAAAAATACTGAGGATCCAGGATATAGTTCACTGGTAGAGTGCTTAGCTAGCATGTGCAAGACCCTGAGTTTGATCCCCAGTATCACAAAACAACAATACCAACAGTATACATATGATTTTTCCCCCTGAGACAGGGCCTCACTATGTAGCTCTGGCTGTCCTGGAACTCACTATGTAGACCAGGCTAGCCTCAAACTCACCAAGATCCAAAACTGTCTCTACCTCCCAGTGCTAGCATTAAAGGTGTGTGCTACCATGCCCAGCCAAAAGTTCATTTTAAAATCCACATAGAAAAAGGCATGGTAGGAGAGATGACTCAGAGGTTAAAAGCTCTTCCAAAGGTCCTGAGTTCAATTCCCAGCAACCACATGGTGGCTCACAACCATCTATAATGAGATTTGGTGCCCTCTTCTGGCCGAACACTGTATACATAACAAGTAAATCTTTAAAAGAAAAAAGAAAAGGTATGTTTTAATTCTATGGACAGGGATTACAGAGCAAAGCATGCGTGAACAAGATCTGCATATCCACGTTTACTGTGATACTCACAATAGCCAAGTTACAGAATCAGACCAAGACTACACATGCATCAACAACAGATAATGGATAAGCAAATGTATTATGTATGCATACTGCTGTTTCATTCAGTCACAAAGAACAAAGTGATGTAATTTACCAGAATATGAATGGAACTGAAATCATCACATCAAGCAAATTAGTCTCAGAAAGATAAACACTAATTCTATTTTTTAAAAAAAAGACATGAAAGTGGAAGAACACTATTTACAAAGAAGGCAACCAGCATGAGGTAAGGAAGGAGGAAAAAAGAACAAAGGGTTATGAGGGAAGTGAATAGGATCAAAATACATCATCCACACATATGGAAGTGGCATAATAAAAACATGATTTTATATAGTGAATATATGTGAAGAAATAAATGAAGAAAGCAGGGGAAAGCACATGCACATAAGAGAAAAGAAACAAACTAGAGTTACTGGTGTCTCAAATTGAGCATGGAGTTGGTGCTGCAGGAACAAATGAGAGATACTGATGTCTCAAATCCCCCATGCGAGGTGGTGCTGTAGAAACAAACTGAGCAAGGGAGCTGGAGCTGTACCTGCAGATACTCCTGAAACTCCTCTCTCTTCGACTTTAAGAACTCATAGTTTTTGGGACCAATGATCCTTTTGGATGGAAGTTGAGCATCAGGAAATGTACCTGAAATTGGTGCACACAGTTCTTACCACCTTGGCTATTTTAAACACTATTTGAAACTACTATGGAAATTCAGATTCACAATACTGCCTTGCAGAGATATGACATTATGTTTTAAATAATCTTCACACAGAGAGTTGGATAGCATTTTTTTCTATTGTACAGTTCCTATTAAACTTTTACCATTAAAAAAAAGTCAATGTGCATTGTAAAAACTTAATATATAGATAAGAAAAAACCCAGAATACCAACATTCTTATTTTCAACAGAAATACATACAACTGTCAACATCAATTGATACACTTAAAGTAAAAAAAAATCTGGTGCAAGACCTTTCAAGAAGGCCAATTGCTGAATTATGTTTTATATAAGAAAGCAACCTACCATGAAATTCTGTTAGTTTTGATTCAAGTACATAGAATTCAAGGTATCTTCTATAGACAGACCAATGTTCAGGCTCATGTCCAACTGTAAGTTAAAAATAAACAATTTTAGAACCTACAACAAAATGTGAAACATTAATAATACTAAAATGGGGGTATTATATTGCAGTCTTTATTTTAGTTAGCATTATCATACTTCACTCCTATTTTAATTCTAAATTATCTAGAAGAAATTGATAAGACAAGCAAACAGACTATTTCAATAACAGAATCACAAAGCTGGTAGGAACTTTTTAAAGTATACAATTACTATTTTAAAAATGTACAAAATTATTTATTTGTGTATGTGTGTCTGTATACACATGTATGCCATGCCATAGTACACATGTGCAAGCCAGAGGACACTTGTGAGAGTCAGTTCTCTCTTTCTACCATGTAGGTCCCAGAGCAGTAGATCAGGTGGCCAGGCTTGGTAGCAAGCACCTTCTTTCATCCGCTGAGTCATTTCACCAGGCCATAAAATTTGAGAATTGTATTTTCTTGCATAAAAAAGTCAGTGTAGCAAATGATGAAAATGATTACATTTTTCTCCTTTGGAGGTCATGCTTCCTAAGGGCACATCATATGGGCAGCAAGGCTCTGTAATGTTGATGACTACAGTTATTTTTAGATTATGTTTATATTTTACATTTTAATGATTAAGCCAAACTTTTCAAAAATAGAACACAAAAATTGTAAATGTTTGCTCAAAAAGTCGGTAACAAAAGCATCTGACCAATAAAAATGAGGCCTGGTGCAGAAATCAGACTACAGTAAGGGCAATGATTTCATAGTGTACTTACTCAGTAAGACTAACAGCAACACCATAAAATCAGCATTGCCTCTGACCGGGATCAGTTAAGATCCTGCCTGCTACATAGTTATCATAGTTACAACAGGAGGCATCACAGCCAGCTACTCAGAATAATCTGCTCCTGATTTTATGCTCTGTGTTCCTGAACTAGCATTAGTTTCTGAAAAAACTGTTTGAAAATACAGTAAGGGAAATGATGAGCACTGGTCTTCAATGCTACTCAGTTGCCTAGTCTGAAAACCCCTTAACTAGTCTGTCACTCCCCTTACCTCACAGGTCCTTCCCTCTTCCTGAGCTTTACTTTAAGTTTCTATTCGTCCTTCCCAAAATGTGCAAGACTCTGTGTTCCCTTTATACTGAATGCCCCACCTGCTCAACAAAGCTGAGTGGCGAGTGATTACTCTGCTGTCAGTGCTGTTCAGTTCTCAATTACAATCCACACCTGAGACAGCCAAAGGAGAAAAGACAGCAAACATGAAGACATTCGGCAAAGCTGTGTTTGATCATAGTTCATCCAATTCTACTTAACAAAAAAAAAGGGGGGGGGGATGCAGAGGGAGAGGGAAAAACATGATCAAAGTATATTGTATGAAAAAATTTAATTAAAAAATGGTTAAAATGAAAAGAAATATATGGGGAAAGGGAATGCTGTTTAAAGTAGTGTAACACGAGGGCTGGAGAGACAACTGAGCTTGATAGCTAGGATCCACATGGTAGAAAAAAAACCAATGTTCACAAGTGACTTCTACATGTGTGCCACCCACTCACATGCAAATAAATTAATGTAGAAAATAAGTTGGTCTAATACTTAATATAGTATATAGTAGTAAATGCATTAATGATAATAGCTAAGTACAATAGCTAATGATAAGAGCAACAAAACCAGTAAAAAGAGGGACTGGAGAAATGGCTCAGTGGCTAAGAACAAGACCCAGGTTAGGTTCCCAGCACTCACAGGGTGGTTCACAGACACCTATAACTCCAGTTCCAGACCTCCAGATACCAGGTACATATATGTAAACATACAGCCAAAACTCTGATACACATAAGATAAAAACAAATAAATACTAAAACACAAAACAGTATAAGAACATCATATAAGATTCCTTGGGCTCTGAGGTGTGCATCAAGAACCCACTCAGTGTTTTTTGCATTAATTAGTCAACTGATAACAAGTAATCTAGGAAACACTAAGCTTTCATTCAGTTTTTGTTCTGGACACCTATGTCTAATCAAAATCAATGGCAACAAGTTTACTCTCAGTAAAGACAGACTCACGAGCATCTTAGAAAGGCTCAGAAATCTTACCTGCTCGTCTATCATTTCTTTCAACATCAATACAAAACACAGGAATTCTCTCCTTTTTCTCCTTCCTTTCAGAGGAGGGATCCTCAAAAAAGTCTACATATGGAATGCTAATTTTCCATGCAGCAAGGTTTCGAGGAGTGTTAGGTGTGCTCACAGCTTCTACTGGAGAATCATCTTCCATTACCACAATACCTTCTTCAATCTGGAAAAGGTTATCAAGGTGAACTTAACATTCCAAACTATAGCACATGAAATATAACCATCAAGTAATATACTAATTTTATTTTTTTTAACTTAGGAAACTAAGTTAAAAAGTAAAGATAAAGGTTAAACTGTTGGGTTTGAGGTCTTTTGTTTTGGTTTTGGTTTTTTGGTTTTTCGAGACAGGGTTTCTCTGTGTAACCCTGGCTGTCCTGGAACTCACTCTAGAGACCAGGCTGGTCTCGAACTCACAGAGTTCCGCCCGCCTCTGCCTCCTGAGTGCTGGGATTAAAAGTGTGCACCACCACTGCCCAACAAAAAGTTAAACTTAACAAGTAACTAGCATCAATTCATGATATATCTATAGGTCAAAGTTTAAAAGAAAATAGAGAATTGACATTTTAAATTAAGAAAAATATAAAGGATAAAAATATAAAAAGTTCAAACTTGATGATAAATAAAAATTAATATACTCCTATCTTTCATTTCAGAGTATATAAGACATCATGCCATCGATGTAGAAAAATTAATATACTCCTATCTTTCATTTCAGAGTATATAAGACATCATGTCATCAAAATACTTGACACAGATAAACTAGATCTGTGACACGTGTGGAATGTATGCCAGCATAATCATTATGAACTCTGGCAATATACTTCTACAATGAGTCACTAAACAGTTCTGAATAAGTAACTCCATTCCTGAAAACATTCTTATGAAAATATCTACTTCAACTAATTTTTTAAACTGAAAAAGTAGTCTAAATATAGTCACTGTAACATAAAGAAGGTACAATTCAAAAGAAGATCTAAAAAGGATCTATTTCTACAGAATTAGATTTTTGTTTGCTTTGAGATTGGGTTCCTCTGTATGGAAAACCCCTAGCTGTTCTGGAACTGCCATGTAGACCAGGATGACCTTGAACTCACACAGATGCACCTGACTCTGAGATTAAAGATGTGTGACACGATATCAGGTAAACGAAGATTTCTCACCTTTTTGATTCTAATATCATAAACATCTATAATTTCATTTAATACCTAAAACCAAAGTAATTCATTTAAAAAGTAATCTATAAGCATAGTTCTTTTAAATCCTTCTGAGTCTCTAGTCACCTAGACAGCTCTTAGTCATGTTAAAGGGGACAGTTACTATAAATAACCTATTCATGTATTTGCTTTTTGAGACAGAGTCTCTTGCTACCGCAACCCAGGTTGGCTTTGAACTGAATATCCTGCTGCTTCAGCTTCATAAATGCTGAGATTACAGGTAGATACCACCATACCCAGGCAAAAGGTTAATGCAGCAAACTAAGTAATTTTTGTTTTATTTTCAAAGATTCCTTGTAAGAAGAGTGTGGAGAGCAAGGAAGACAGAGACAAAAGGCTATCTGAGGTTCTCTACTTAGTTAAGAAATAGTAATGTTTCCTATGTTTACCTTTCGCATACGCACTTGATTGTCAACTTATTAATTGGCAGAAATGTATTTGTAAAGTAGTCCTGAACTTGGACAGAAGCATGTTTTCAGATAGTTCCAATGGTTTTGCTGTTGCTTTTTGAAACAAGGTCTCACTTTGCTCTGGCTAGCTTTGAACACATGATTTATTCTTCTGCCTCAGACAGTCAGAATCTTACATACCACGTTTTCATCCCTGAGTCAGTTACCACACAGATGTGACCCTATCTCTTGTATTAATAGAGCTATGAGCCCTGATGGCACTATGTAATACAGTGTGCAGAGTGCTTACTATAGGCCAGGCATCATTCTTAGTGCTTCATGCAGATTGCCTGTCTAATTCTCCTAATTATACCCCATGTACAACAGATAGGATGGTCCTGATTTCACATTGTAAGGAAAGGAAATCACAATAAAATTGGGCAATTTGCCTAAACTCACACACCAAGTACGTACCACTGCCAAATATCATTTCAACTTTTCAAATCACACACTAGGATTGGCAATTCCTATAAAAACAATCCTCAAGGTCCCACAGCTCCTAACTAGCATAGTATTGTGCGTGGCCTGTGATAAGATCAGCATTACGACCTGCTCAGTGTCTTCTAAACTAAGTGGCTTCGTCCTTAGCATTTGTGCGTTCTTTAGAAATAATATAATGACTATGCTTAATAACAATTACTCCAAAATACCCAGTGGAGAGCACTGTGAATGTTTCCAGAATTAAAAATGGTAAGTATCAGGAGTTAGATCTGATCATTATTCATTGCATAAATGGATCAATATACAAGTTTATTATATTCTATACCATAAATATATAAAATTACCATGTATTAATTAAATAGTGCATTCAAAAATAACAATAATAGTAATAACAGTAATAGTACTAAGGTCACAAAGAGAGAAAATGCTCAGTTGTATTGGTAGCTCAGGTACAGGTTTATGGACATCATGCAAATTTTAAAAGATAAATGTGAAGTTTTCTGTGTAAAGAACAGAAGGAAAAGACCATCAAGCAGGGCTGTATGTGCAAAGGAACAGAAAAGTACAACAGCATGGTAAGCGAAATACACATACACATAAAACAAGGAATCTTACCAGACAGGTCTAGGATGAGGCCTGAGAGCCTACATGTAAAAGCTCCACAGTCTAAGGAATGAGAAATTAAGGCTTCTAACAACACCACAAACTGAAGCATATGGTTGGAAAGAGTTATATCAGGATTGAAACAAAAGCCCAATGAAGAGACAATAAAGAGCTAGGAAGATGACTCACCCAGGTGCTTGCCTTGCCAACAAAAAGGACCTGAGTTAAATCCCCAAGAGCAGACAGTGAAAAACTGTGAGCTGGGTGTGGTGGTATATGCTTTTAACCCAGCATTGAGGAGACAGAGGCAATACCAACCTGGCTTTACACAGTGAGCACCAGGCCAGCTAGCTGAGACAGACACTGATTTACTTATCTACTTGATTATTACTGGTTTTGTTTTGAGGCAGTGTCTCACTGTGTAGCTCTGGCTATCTTGGAACTCAATATGTGTCTGCCTCTGCCTTGCAAGTACTGGGATTAAAAGTATGTATCACTATTCCCAGCTAATAGATCCTGTTAAAAGAAAAAAAAAAAGAAAGAAAGAAAAGCTGTGCACAGTAGTGCAGTAGTCACCACAGTAGTTTCCATTCCAGGGAAGTAGACATTGACAGATCCTTGGGTCTCAATGGCATGATAGCCTAACGTACTTGAGCTCCAGGCCAGTAAGAGACCCTGTCTCAATACATAAATAAATAAATAAGCCCATCAAGATGGCTTAGTAAGTAAAAGTGCTTGCTGCTAAGCCTGGTGACCTGAGTTCAATCCCCAGGACCTACACAGTGGAAGGAGAGAACTGACTCCTGCCAAGTTGTCCTCTGGAATATACACCATACACACACAAAAACTCTCTCTCTCTCTTAGAAAAGAAAAGAAAAAGAGGTACACCATGCTTGAAGAATGGCACCTTCCTTAGCTCTCTGGCTTCCACATGCATGTGTACATACACATGTACCCAACACACATAAACACACATACACAAGCACACACCAAAGGTAGTAAACTGACTACCAGAAATGCCAGTGCTCATTTTCCCTAATAATCAATAACTCAGATCTAAGAAAAAAATTTTAATGGTATAAGTACAATGAAACTACAAAACTAATGAAAGGAAAAACATTTATATACAAAGGAAGTCTGAAGGAAGAAAATAAATAGGGAAAATAAGTCAGCATACCCCACATTTAATGCTATATTAAGTACAAAATTGTAGATATATCAAGTTGAATTTTTTTAATTGAAGAATTTTCACTTACAAAGTCATCTTCACCTTCAGCCAAACCGTAATTGGGCAACATAGCTCCCTCCATTGTAGTACTCTTGAATACTCCTTTAATTTTGCTACCTATTCTGCTGATTCCAAACGATTCTCCTCTTTTTTGTGTGCTTCTAAATATTAAACAAAAATGCATCAGGTACATAGAAAATTATTGGCATCTACTATACTATACATCTTAGCAAAGAAAAAGCAAACTAGCTTTGAGAGGGTAAATTAGAGAAAGATTAACAATGTCTGGAGTTTTCAGTCACTAATTAAGTCTCAACATCCAGGAGCCAAAACTGTCAGAACATTTAAATTCTTCGAACGAATAAATGAGACAAAATTTACTAACAAACATTTGAAATGTATCTAACGCTAACTTCAAAACATTACCTGAACTTTTTAAGTTCTATAAGAATGATAGCCCCCTAGTGGTATATAGTTCTCATTGTCACAGAAGTTTTGTTAAAACATACACATGTATGAACCTGTCGAACAATTTTTAAAAAACGGTTCAACCAGCTGGGTGGTGGTGGCACACAACTTTAATCCCAGCACTTGGGAGGCAGAGGCAGGCGGATCTCTGGAGTTCGAGGCCAGCCTGGTCTACAAAGCAAGGTCCAGAAAAGCCAGGGATGTTACACAGAGACACCCTGTCTCAAAAAAACAAAACAAAACAAAAAAACAAACAAACAAAAAAAAACCACTGTACACCCATTTAGAATAGTAGTTCTAAACCTGTGGATAGCATATTAGATGTTTACATTATGATTCATAACAGTAGCAAAATTACAGTTATGAAGTAGCAATGAAATAATTCTGTGGTTGGGGTCACCACAGCATGAGAACTGTACTAAAGGTCACAGCATTAGGAACATTGAGAACCACTGATTTAAAAAAACTGAATCACTAAAATAAGAGTGCAACATAAAAACATAAAACTATGATCTTCCCATTAAAATTTTTAGATGATACTTAATTTATCTCTATGACAAATATAATACAAACAAAAGGAGGGAAAGGTTAGCAATGATGGAAAGAATACAAGTGGGCACAGCTCCAAGGAAGCAGTCAGCTCTACCATAAACATTAAACACTAGTTCTACAATGTTTTTCAAAAGTAAATTTCCAAAAGCAGAAATAGCTAGAAAGAAAATGAAAGAAAGCCCCAAAAGGAGCAAAAAAAAAAAAAAAAAAAAAATGGAGCCAAATGCTTTATGTTTCAGTAAACCAAACTATAACTTTTTAAAAAGATTTATTTATTTATTTATTTATTATGTATACAGTGTTCTGCCTGCATGTATCCCTTCCGGCCAGAAGAGGTCACCAGATCTCATTACAGATGGTTGTGAGCCACCATGTTTTTTCTGGGAATTGAACTCGGGCCCTCTGGAAGAGCAGCCAATGCTCTTAACCTCTGAGCCATCTCTCCAGCCCCTAAACTATAACTTTTATCTAACCTAAAACTTGCAAACTGCCATCAGAGACCAAACTACAGAGACTACTGTAAAATCTGACCATTTGCTTAGAATACTTAAACTCAATGGAAGCTATTATTCCTATCTGCAAAATGTATCTACTGAAATAATTCAACAATTAGAGATATAAAAGAACACCGATCAAGTTTCAAACATACCATGTTTACTGTGACAAGCTTTTACACAGTGTTTTTGGAACAAACCAAACTTATTTTAAAACTATAACACTATTAGTAAGTAGTAAACAGTACTAGAAGCAAACTAGATTGTTTTATCTAAACAAGCATGTAGTTAAGTGTTTTAAAAAAAATAACAGTTTTAGATTTTTGCAAGCTCTGATGACAGGACTATTTCCAGATGAAAATAAAAATGGTGACAAAATACTAAAATTTCTAAACCCTGGGCAGGCAGGCTGTCGCAGGATTTACAGATTATAAAACAATACAGGTTTTGAACAAAGACATTTTTAAAACTCTCATTTGTGATTATCCATAGATCTTCAGAAATATAATTATATTTGTGTTCTTTAAACTCAAATAATTATAAAAGTTGTTCAGCAAAATCAGAAACCCTCCTTACTCCCAAACGGAGTCAACAACTTTGAAAAGTAAAATACTAGTGAATAAATAATAAAATATCTTAATAGTATGAGGACATTTTATTTCATAATTATATGTTATTTCAAAAAATATTTGTAGAGATCCACATTAAAAACTTATCCTAAATAATTTATATAAAGGCAAGGACAGCACAGTGCTTCATAGTTTTCCTTTTTCATTGCACCTAGGTTGCTTGGGGTGAACTTTCTAGGTTAAAACAGACAATTTATACTAAAAAAAAAAAAAAAAGAATCACATGCTCACGACTTACCGGAAATCATCCAAACTTAGGCTACCTCTGCAATATCAGATATGTGAGATTATATGAGGAGGAGAGAGAGAAAGCCCAGATATTAAATATGTTTCACTTTAGAACATAAAATCAAATTCAAAATGCTTAAAAGTTATACAAGTGGATAGCATTCACCTTAGCAAAAGGAAGAAATCCTATGAATCACACGATATAGGGAAGAAAGAAACATGGATGTTTGGGTGTATGCAATCTAGATTACTAATGTTCTTGAAAACAGTATCTCAAGTAATAATTCAGCATTTTCTTCTCCTTAGGCATACCATTTGATACAGCCGAAAATATGTAAAGACTAAGCTAACAAACAGCAGCTCAGATTGTTCAATACAGAATTATGTCTATGTTAGATGTGCTCATACATGCTTCCTAACATTTTTTAGCTTGAAATAAAACTGAGTGTTTTTCCAGGCATGGTGTCTCATTGCCTATGCCTATAATCCTAGCACTGTTGCAAGTCTGAGGCTAGCCTAAACTACACAGTGAGCTCTTGTCTCATATAAACAATAAAATATCTGGGGCTAAGGATGTCAGTAGTAATGTTATTTCCTAGTATTCATGATGCCCTGGATTCAATCCCAAACAAATAAACAAAAATCCACAACTTTTTAAAGAATACTTGAAGCTAAAAAGTAAACAAAACATTCTTAAAGAGTTATGCTTTGAATACATAATAAAGTAGGCCAGAATTAGATATATGTGCTAAAATTCTGCTTTTAAGACACAAGTAAACAAACCAAAAAATAAATACTACTTAACATACTCTGAGCCATTTAACAGCAAATTATCAAGGCTACTCTAAATTTCCAACTAAAGAATATTAGCAAACTCTTCTACTGATTCTATTTAGATAAAGGAATCCTTAATTATCAGAGAATCAGAGTGCTCTTAAGTATGACAGGTAACATTAAAGTGAGGTAAATATAAAGGAAAACCTTTTTTTGTTTGTTTTGTTTTGTTTTTCAAGACAGGGTTTCTCTGTGGCCTTGGAGGCTGTCCTGGAACTAGCTCTTGTAGACCAGCCTGGTCTTGAACTCACAGAGATCTGCCTGCCTCTGCCTCCAGAGTACTGGGATTAATTAGAGGGGTGCGCCACCACCACCAGGCAAGTAAAACATACTTTAAATTGCTATATTAGTATATGTATTTCCATCCTGACTTTTTTATATTTTGAAACCAGAAAAAGGTGTACTAAAGGTATCAAGTGATCTTAAAAAGGCAAAGAAAGCTTCTGCCACTGAAGCTGAAGCCTTTGCCTTATATTTATCTAGCAGGTGGATTTCATTCAAACAGTTGATAAAGACTATAATACTATCACAGAATAATCAGCAACAGCTAAATCAAAACCAATACACACCCAGAGTTAAATATGCCTACCTGTTGAATTTGGAATTGCGTGTTGGAGATTCTGCGCCTCTTAAAAGTTGTCTGAAATACTTCAAAACATTAATACAAATTAGGATTAACTAAACCAGTATTTTACATTGAAATATACTACTTTACCTTACTTCATCTTGTTTTATTTTTTTACTTTGCTACTTAAACCACTTACTGAATGCTATCAGAGCCACTGTGAAGTATATAAAGTCCTCAGTGAATGCCTGACTTACCTCATCACTGTGGCAGAACATAGGAGTAAACACATTCTCCAAGAGGGAAAGAACATGCTCATATGCTTCAAAAAGACATCTCATAGTTTGCAGTTTCACAACATCTATATATGGGCCTTCAGCAACTAAAAAAATTTCATTGTACAAATTATTTCTGAATAACAGAAATGTAACATATTTAAAATTCATTATGTGACGCAAACACACAAATTACATTTTATAGAAACACCACAAGAAATCTTCCTAGAATGAGAAATGAGAATACCTACCTCCAGTTCTGACAAACATTAGTCACACGAGTTCTTTTGTGTTTTAGTGATTTTTTTTTTAATTTAAAAATTTGTAAATTTTTTTCCAGGCTGTACTGGAACTTGTAGTACAGGCTGCCCTTTGAAAATGTGATCTTCCTGCCTCCATCTCCAAGTGCTAGGATTACACTTCCAAGCCAGCCTCAGTTATGCAAATAGTGACCACTCCTCTTCCTCAAAGCTTACATCATGTTAGTAAAATAAGCATGTAAAAACAGAATTCTTTAAACTAAGGAAGTTAAAAGATCTCTAAGTGTTTAAAAATAAATATAGCAATTTAAGCTGCCTATGTAGCTTTCCACAACTGCTAGAATAAGTAAAGAATACATGGATCCATCAAGAGTGCATACTGTTCTTGCAAAGTACTGGAGCTCAGTTCCCAGAACCCTTTGGGTAGCTCAAAACTACCTGTATTACTCCAGAGCCAGAGGAAGCTGAAGCCTCTGCCTTTCAAGGGCACCTGTGCTCACACATGGGCATACACACACACACACACACACACACACACACACACACACACACTCTTGAAAATAATAAAAAGTGCCAGGTGTGGTGACCCATGCTTTTAATCACAGAACCAGGGAAGCAGAGGCAGACAAATCACTGAATTCAAGGCCAACTTGGTCTATAAAACAAATTCCAGGCTAGCCATGATTACATAGTGAGAGCACTTTCCCTTAAATAAATAAATATATAAATAAATCTTTTATAAAATTGAAAAAAATAAATGAAGAAAACTTAGCAAACAGGAAAGATCTAGAATCTTGACTTACTTCTTTGAATCTCTTCTACAATGAAGGGATCAAATCTAATTTTGTCAATACTTTCATCCAAGCAGTATGTTTTATAAATCTTCTGCAATTCCTCATGTAGAGATAGCATTTCATCATTTGATAACTCTGGTCGCAAAATTCTATCATTAAATTCCTCTAACAAATCAAAGAAATATTTAAGAAAAAGTTACTTTAATGTAAACACTGTCATTAAAACTTCATATTCTTACTCTAAAAGCAGCAAATACAATCTAATTATTTTAAGCTTTTAAAAAATACTTAGGAGAGCCGGGTGTTGGTGGTGCACACCTTTAATCCCAGCACTCAGGAGGCAGACATGGCTGGATCTCTCTGAGTTTGAGGCCAGCCTGGTCTACAGAGTGAGTGCCAGGAAAACCAGGAGCAATACAGAGAAACCCTGTCTCGGAAAAAAAAAAATACTTAAGAGTAGCATACTCAGATGAAAGACAAAGTCAACAAGATTTTTATGTTAATATAAAATATATAAGTAGTAATAAAAATCTGCAACAACAGAATAGTAAGTATATTTGTAAAACTTTCTCTGGATTAGTTTCTTATCCAAAGGTCTTTCAATAGTCTAAAATCTGGTGACTCACTAAATAATAGTTAAAATACAGCTTGTTATGGAATAATCTTTTCATACACTGTGAAGATATGTCTTTGCCAATGCACCTTCTGATTGGTTTAATAAAGAGCCGAATGGCCAATAGCTAGGAAGGAAGAAGTTAGGCAGGACTTACAGGCAGAGAAGAAAAGGAGATGAATCAAGGTGTAGGAGAGAGACCAGAGGACACGGAGAGGAAACAGAAGGTACAAGATGGATGAAAGAGAGGTAAAAGGCAACACATTTAAAAATATATCGTGTCAGGCAGCGGTGGTGCATGCCTTTAATACCGGCACTCAGAGAGGCAGGCAGATTTCTGTGAACTTGAGGCCAGCCTGATCTATAGAGTGAGTTCCAGGATATCCAGGACTGTTTCAGAGAAACCCTATCTCAAAAAAACCAAACAAAGAAAAAGAAAAAGAAAAAAAAAAAAAAGGGGGGGGATAATATAAAGTTCTAGTCTTTGAAAGCTATTTAGGATAATAAAGAAAGCCAGGTTTGCAGTTAGTCATCTATAACAATCAAACTTGAAGTCATGTTAGATATGTTTTCAAGGTTTAATAGACGGTCTTCAAACACTTCAAAGACCTACAGAACATGGCATTTAAAATGTTTTGTTGCCATAGGGCTTTTCATGACAGTGAGACATGTGGGCTCCTGGCAAAACCAACTTACTTCAAAAGAGGATGATGGGCATCAAAGAACCTCTATATTGAGTTTGCTTTCATTTGTGGCAAGGTTAGCCACTGGGCAAAGAAACTACCCTTGCCTCAACTGCTGATAGAATGTTGTTCAAATTGGACAAGCAATACACAAAAGGAGAAAACTGCCAAACTTACCCAAGACAAAGTAGGACAGCCCTTCAAAATTCCTACTGCACAGAAAAGTCTATCAAATATTTTAGGCTCGTAGGCCGAAGATGGATGCCCCAACGTTGCAGAGAAATCTTGGGTGAGTGTCCAGGTAGCTGTTTCTGTCATTTCTATAGTTTTGAAAGTTGTGTGCTCTGTACTTTCTGTTTACTAAGGCAATATTACAGTCTTCTTGGGTCTCTCATGGAAAGACCAGACAGTCACAATTACAGTTTTCCTTGTTACCAAACTCAAAAAAGAAAGTCACAAATAACTGTAAAGTGTATAAGGATGAGACACATAAAAGCTTACATTGTTTAAGAAAATGTTTTAAAGTAAAAAAAAAATAGTTTTGGGTTAATAATACAAATTAGGATAGAAACAGAATTAGGAACAAAACTTTGGACTCCCCAAGATAGGACAAATAATGGAGTATTTTCTCTGCATTTGCCAAATAAAAATGGACTGGGTATTATAAATGTAATTCTTATCTGATAATTGTTCTTATTGTTTATAGTTTTACTATATTAGAATAAAAAACCTTTCCTTTTTATTTAGACAATATCTGATAATTGTTCTTATTGTATATAGTTTTACTTTGTAGAGTTAAAAAAATTCTTTTTTAATCAGATATGAAAGGGGAAATGTTGGGGAATAATCTTTTCAAACACTGTGAAGATGTGTCTTTGCTGAGGTGCCTTCTGATTGGTTTAATAAAGAGCTGAATGGCCAATAGAAAGAGGTTAGGCAGAACTTACAGGCGGAGAGAGAAGAAAATGAGATGAATCAAGGCACAGGAGAGAAGCCAGAGGATATAGAGAGGAAACAGGAGGTGCAAGATGGAAGAGAGGTAAAAAGCCAGGAAGCAAAATGTAGATTAATATAAATGGGTTAATTTAAGTTATAAGAGCTAGCGGGATAAGCCTAAGCTATAGGCTGAGCTTTCATAATTAATAAGTCTCCATGTCATGTTTTTGTGAGCTGGCAGCAGAAAGAAAAATCCATTTACAACAGCTCATAATTTCTCACAAATTCAATGTCTGTAATATTATAGTTTGATAGTCTGAACAAAATGGAGACACAGTGGTACTGCTTTGGACTGTCAGTGAGATCTCTTACACAGTATCACTGTTAGATTTTTAATAATTATTTTCTGCTACTAGGATTTGACTGCAACCAAAGATAAGATCATGCCCCACCTGTTAAGGAATAGACACCTGAGAGAAACTCACTCTTAGAATATCTAGTAGATGAAATTTAGGCTGGGGACATCAGATCTACTCTAAATAGCCAAAGCATTAACAAGCATGAAAAAGATAGTAGTAAAATGCAAATGAAGCCTCACCGACAGTCAGACAAAACTGCAGGACATGCACGGCTCCCTCTTGTTTCAGAAAGTTCATAAACCGAAATAAAAGATCTTGTTGTTCTCTGATTTGCTTTAATTCTAACTTCAGTACCTTGTCACATATAAGAGGAAGAGTAAGTTAAAGATACACAAATGTATTTTTAAGACTGTGATCTTAAAAACATTAGTGCTGAAAATACTCACAGATGGTTTTTTATTTCTAGGTTCTGCAAATTTCTGCAAGAATGGAACCAAAGGAGAAGCTGGTTCAGTCGCTTTTTCAGGCTTTGAAGAAACAGAATTATCAGTTCAGTAAAATCCACACTGCAGTAGGTATACACAATCAAAATTTAATGCAGTTACAAGTGTTCAATACTCACAGGACTGTCATCTATGAAGATGATAAGCAAATGATTGACAGTATCCTAATGAAAAGCAATAAACACAGGTCAAAATAATTCTACTGTCATGTTCTGCCAAGAATTCTCACAATTTTCACATTATCAAATTCACTAGAAAAATAAACAGCAAAGTGATAGGCTAAACTTTTCCACATATGTATTGCAGAGGGACTCCTAAAGAACTACAATCAGAGGTTTTTAACTGTCCAAACATGAGCAAAGAACAATTTTCTTTGCCATTTAAATTATACCTGTTTCTTCAAAAACCCAAGTTAGCCAAAGTCAGAATTGTCAAAGTATCCATCGATGGATAAATAAATGAGCAAAATGTGACACCTACATGTAATGAATTATTATTAAAAATTGAAAAGGAAAGGAATTCTAAAACATGTTATGCAACTGTCAAGGACTCAAGGGGGAATAAGAAATTATTGCTTATAGGTATAGAATTTATAGGGTTTTGGTTTTAAGGTGGTGGTGATGGTTGCTCAAATAAGCACACATTTCATAACACTGTACTATACATATAAAATGGTTAAATAGTAATTCAAGTGTATTTTATAATTAAAGTAAAAAATTTTAATCTTACTGGGTCAGCTAGGAAATCCAAAGAAGGGAGAAACACAGAACCAGATAGAATTTCTCTTATAAGTAATGTCAGGGATCTGGAAATAGAAATAATAATTCTGTATTCAGTGATTTACATTAGTTCTTCATTTTCAAGCACCTTGAAAGTGAAAGTACAGAGCTGGACATGGTAGCCCATGCCTTTAAACTCAGCACTGAGGAGGCAGAGGCAATCAGATCTCTGAGTTCAAACCAGCCTAGTCTGTTTGACTAGTAACTTCCGGGCTAGCTACAGGGCTACACTGTGAAACCCTGACTCAAATAAAATTATGGGGCAGAGAATGAAGCTCAGTGGAAGAGGGCTTGTCTTTCTTCATTCCTCAGTACCACCCACCCACCCACCCATCCAACCAACCAAAAACATCAAATTAAAATTCAATAGGACAAGGATGGGTATCAGATCCTACATTTTCAGCAAGAGCCAGGTGATACTTATGCTGCAAAATAACAAACTTGGACTTGTGTTCTCAGTTTGATAAAAGTGACTCATGCTGAAAAGAAATGTTTAAAAGAACTAGGGAGATATCAAACACTGTTCCTTTTAGAATCTTTAGTATATTTATAAATTCATATTTACAGGCTGAAGACATAGTTGAGACTCACTAGCATATACAAAGACCCTGGATTTGATCTCCAACAACACACACCAAAAAACTTTTCATAAGCAGTAAAGTATGTTCAATAGTTAGTAATACAAATTAGACTATAAAAATTTCTTTAAGATGGAGGAACATGGAATTAAGAATGGATTTTCAAATTTGCACTCCTCTCCTCCTGCTTCAGGCACTTACAGTGCTGAGGTTACATGGGCACATCCAGCTAAAGATAGCTTAATCAAAATATTAAAACACTCTACCAACATGTACTTATATATCATTTAATGAATAAATATCTTCAAGTATATCACTGAGCTGGGCATGGTGGCACACAGCAACAATCCTAAGACTGGGAAGCAAAGCAGATAGGGAACACTACATAGTGTGGTTCTGTCTCAATAAATTGAAAGAAATTAAAAAAAGGGTAGAGCAGAATACAAGGGAAGGAGGGGAAGAAAGAATAAGCCACCATTTTTTCCTCTAAGAACTATCAGGCAACACTAGGGAGGCACAGGCAGGTGGATCTCTGTGAGTTTGAGTCCTGCTTGGTCTACAGAGCAAGTTCTAGTACAGCCAGGGCTAGACAGAGAAACCCTGTCTCAAACAAAAAAAAAAAAAAAAAGAAATCAAACAAACAATAAAGAACTATCAGGGTAAGGGAAATGAGGTAACTTATGGGGAAAATCTAAGTATACTTCTACCAGAAGAAGGGAGAGTGGAGGACAGGACATCTAATTATTCTTTCCAGCTGGACAGCTTAAAACCCAAACTTAGTTGCAGAGTCTGCTCAAAGTGCTTCTGCCTGAAAGAATCATAGTGTGCATGCCTTTTAAAAGGAACATCAAGAAAATAAAGCAGATGGATCTCAAATACAATTAATTTTACCCATACTTATGTTTGATTTCTAGTATCAGTTTTTAGTAACAAATACTAAGGCCAAAGAACATACTTCAGCACCTAAATTGGCATTTTAAAATCTGACCAATTATTCTCAAGTGAAAAACTACTCATAACATAAGTTCATATCAAGTTTTAGTGAAGTCCTATTATAATAAAACATAGCAATCTATACATATAACATGTTATATGTCTATATTATATATAGACACACACACATATATATATATAGCTATACATATACAAATACTATATGATATTTTCTAGTGCATTTATACCTGCAGTCTGTAGCTTTAGGAGGCAAAATATAAGGAAAAAGTAGCTCAGTGAGTTTCCTTAAATACTGTAATTCATCTCTTCGACTTCTCAAAGCGACATGAAGCTCTGGGCCATATTCTTCTAATGCAGCTTGCTGTAAATACTCCGTGTTTTTTACTGTAAATAACAAAAAACTACTGGATGAGTTAGGATATATTAAATTACTTCATTTCTATTACCATACAGAGCATCCAACCTCATTCCTCTCCTAGCCCCTGCTCTCTGAATAGAAAGGGAAATTTTTTCAGAAATAGGACATAAAGGGAGATTTTCTCCTTTGCTTACTGTGGTGGTTGGAATAGGAATGCCCCCCACAGGCTCATAGTTTTGAATGCTCAGTCATTAGGGAATGGTGCTACTTGACAGGGATTAGGTGGTGTGGCCTTGTCTGGAGTAGGTATGGCTTTGTTGGAGGAAGTGTGTCACTGGGGGTGGGCCTTGGGCCTTGGGGTTTTAAATCCTAAAGCCAAGCCCAGTGTATCTCTTTCTTCCTGATGCCTGCACATCCAAATGTAAAACTCTCGCTACCTCTCCAGCACCACGTGTGGCCCTGTCCCGCCATGATAATGGAACCGTAAGTCAGCCCCAATTAAATGCTTTCTTTTATAAGAATTGCAATGATCCTGGTGTCTCTTCACAGCAACAGAACACTGACAAAGGCACTTACTTGTAATAAATTCATTTTCTGTGTCTATTTCCTTGAGCAAATAAGAATTTAAACTCATGAGTTCTACATAATATACTAGCAAATTACTTAAGTGGGAGAAAACTATAGAACATGTGTTCTAGTATACACAAAAGTTTAATTATCAACTATCTTGTTCATGTTCTGGGACAAGAAAAATTCCCAAATTCAAAATTCTTTGCTGCTTTTACATCAGTATCATCCAGACAGCCACTGAGACTGTGAGAAAGTGGATTCTTCAGGAGGTTTTGCATTTTTAGCCAGATCACAGGACACAAGAGGTATAACTGAGTAACCAAAAGAAATGAGCTGACAGACAGTGGGGGCGCACACCTTTAATCCCAGCACTTGGGAGGCAGAGGCAAGTGAATCTCTTGTGAGTTTGAAGCCAGCCTAGCCTACAGAACAAGTTCCAGGACAGCCAGAGCTGTTATACAGAGAAACCCTGTCTCGAGAAAAAGAAAAAAGGAAAAGAAAGAAATGAGCTATCACATTGTTAAAAAAAAAAAAAAAGAGAGAAAGAGAGAGCCTTAACTACTTATTGCTAATAAAAAAATCAGCCTGAAATAGTTGTGTAATTCCAAAAAAAGACCTATCAAAAAGTAAAGCCTATTGATATTTTTACTTATTTTTCCTCTGACAGTATTCTTTACAAAACTGCTACAGAGATGCTACCTCTCTTGTGTATTTTTGCCAGTGACAAGGTTTTAATGTATTTTTTAGTCAGGCATGGTATATCCACAGTGCATGGGAGGTAAAAGAAAGAGAATCAGAAGTCAACAGCCTTGGTTACATGCCAAGTTCAAAGCCATCCTGAGCTACAGGTGGCCCTGTCTCAAAATAAACCAAGTAAATAAATAAATTAGTATGTCATATAAATGTAAAATCTTTTAAACTCATTCATTTTAAGAGCGTTTTTAAAGGTAAAATCATTTTTACTCATGTGCCTGGTGCCCAAAGAGGCCAGAAGAGGTCACTGGATATCCTGGGATGTCCATGTACCACAATGTGGATACTTGGGATTGAACCTGATTTCTCTGAAAAAGCAGACAATATTCATAATCACTGAGCCATCTATCCTGGTAAAAATTCTTTTAAAAAATTATTTTTATTATTTTTGGTTTTTTGAGACAGTGTTTTGGTTTTTTGAGACATGGTTATCCTGGAACTGGCTTTTTAGACCAGAATGGCCTGGAACAGAGATCCACCTAACTCTGCTTCCCAAGTGCTGGGATTAAAGGCGTGCAGTACCACACCTGGCTATTATTTATGTGTGTGTGTATGTGTTTGTGTGTGATTATATACACATGAGTGTAGGTGCCTGCGAGTACAAAATAGGAACTTGGAGTCCTTGGAACTAGATTACAGGTGGTAAGCCATCTGACATGGGAACTGAGAATTTAACAAGAAATATAGGTGCTCTTAATTACTCAGCCACCTCTCTTCCTAATGGTAAAACTCCTTTTGTTGTTGTTCACACAGTGTCTCACTATGTAGTCTTGGCTGTCTCTGTAGACCAGACTGGCCTCAAACTCAGAGAGATTCTCCCTGCTGCTACCTTCTGGGTGCTAGAATTAGAAGTGTATACTACCACACCCAGCTCCTAAAGGTAAAATTCTTACCTGATATAAAAACACAGAATGATTTTAAATACTAAACTAATAGTTTTACTTAATTTAATCTCAAATCTAATTGCAGCACAATTTCCCAAAATGTGCACTAGTTCCATTAGTTGAGATTATGAGGGATAGAAAATCAGCTCCATGTTCAAATAAGGTTACACTTATATGTGCTTCTGCAGTGTCACATGGAATTTTTAGAAGTGAAATACAAATAGCAATACCAAAAAAAAAAAAAAAAAAAAAGTATCTGTTTCTATACCATCACCTGTGCAGAAAGGCATTCTGCTCTGCATAATGTGTTTCAGGAAGCACTAATGAAGAATACCAAAAATGGACAAATCTCAGTCTCACACAGAAGCAAGTATAAAGCACAGCGCTGTTAAAGGGAACTTTTTTTTAGCTTGATTTTACAGCAAGAAAAGTCCTTAATGAAGATTTCCTTCATTCCATCAGAAAACACTAAACATATGCTTGATGTAAATCACATCAGCAAAAGGCCTACAGTTGCCAGAGCAAAGTTGCTTTAAAGGGGGAAGCAGGGAATTCACAGAAGAACTGTGATATGGAGAAACAAACATGATACATGGTAGTAATAGGTAGGATGAACTAGAATAGTCTGAAACTGCAAAAACCATAGAACCAGGAAAGAAACATGAGCAGTAAGAGTAGACCATCACTCAAAGAAAAATTGGGTTTTAAAGGCTATTCTTAAGGAATCTATGAAGAGCATCAGTCAGGCTGAGAGTACTCACATACCTTTAAATGAAAGCTGACATATAAACAAAATCACTCAAACTACCATAGAACTGTATTACCTTTCTGTCTTGCTTTAACAATCACTTCTATATGTTTCATTGCTGCTTTTAATAGTTTCTTGGTTATAATAGATGGGATATCCACCTAGAAAAAATGAGTAAAAATAAAATTTAAAAAATAATTACTAAGTTGAAATGGCAGGAACACTTTATTTACAATACTAGAACAAAGCTGAAAAGGACTAGAACTAAGAAGAGTAAAGTAGGGTATAATTAATAACAGAGATTGTACATTTCAAAACTGCTCTCACCACAAAGAAAAGAAAAAAAAAAAGAAGAAGAAAAAGTATCTGAGATGGTTAATTAGCTTGTCTTACTTATTCCATGCATGTTGACATACTCCAACATCATTTGTATCACAAAATACACATATTTTAAACTGTCTATTTAAAATAAAAATTTAAACACCAGGAGGCACAAGATTTCGGTGGACATTTCCTCAAAGAAGATATGCAACAGCAAATGAAAGGATGCCCAGCATCCCTCACATCAGGGACATGCAAATCAGTCACAAAGCACCATTCACTCACCCAAGGCTAGATAAAGAGGGTGTGATGGACATGCCAGGGAGAGGCTAAGATCTACAAGTCTAAGGCCAACCTGAAACATACAGGGAGAATCTGCTTCAAAAAAAAAAAAGAACACAAATCACAAAAGAGAGTGAGAATAACTACTTCTGACAAGGAAATTAAAGGGGCATGCTCACACACAGGCATGGCGATGCAAATGTTGCAGCCACTTTGGAAAACAATGAATGAAACTAAGAGCTACTATCTCATCTCACCAAGCAACTAATTATACTCTTCAAGACAAATAAAAATATAACTACTAACATATAAATCTTCATGAGACTAAAGTTGAAAATAACCCAGTATCCACCAACTGAAAATGATGAATAAATTATGCTATATTCAGCCATCAATAACTGAAGTGAGGATATATGGTACACTATGACAATATAAATTAATCTAGAAAACATTATGCCAAGAGAATGGAATCAGTCATCAAAAGATTACATTTACACCAAATATCCACATAAACATAGAGACAGGGAGCAAAATGATTGCTAGCTAGATGTGCAGATGTGAGATTATGGTGAACATGTACAAGGTCTCTTTTCAGATAATAAGCATACTCTGAAATTGACTTTGTGAATGACGTATGCACAACTCTGAATAGGCTGTGAAATGTCACTGAATTCTATGCTTTAAATGGATGAATTATACATCAATAAAATGGTTATAAAAATAGAGTACAGTGGTTAGTGCACATCTATAATCCCAACACTACAGAGGCTGAGGCAGGAGGACTGCAAGTCTGAGGTCAGCTTGGGCTATATAATAAGGCCCTGTTTCAAAACACAGTAAGAAAAGGAAAGAGGAAAAAAGAACATATACACTTTTGCATGTGCATATAAACATTATACTCCAAGTACAAGGTACTAACTACTGTTTTAGACTCCACTAGTCTAGTTAAATAAAGCCTAACACATTGGTTCTACTAACTAATGACTATTAACTAATTCACCTAAAGAACAATTTATTTAAATGATGTATCATCAACCATCCGATGATTCTGCCTCTCTCATTTCTTCCTCGTGTGTGTGTGTGTGTGTGTGTGTGTGTGTGTGTGTTGTGTGTGTGTGTGTGTGTGT